TATTGTTTCAAGTGCTTTTGTTGAGGATTTATGAAGCTGGAAGAAGTTTTCTTTTCACTGGCAATAATAAAAATGCTAAGATCTGTTTTAAGTAAGAAGCATTCAAGTTCTCCCAAATATTTTGCCAGACAGTCCTTCTGCCATAGTGAGTCTAACCGAGATGCCACATTTATGTTTCCATTGGTGTAAATCTGTTGTTGATGCATTATCATCAAAACCTGGTCTAGAAGATTTTGAAATGGAGCTTTCTGGGACAGGACAAGAGAGCAAGTTTTTGATTCAGCTTTTAAGGACCATCCATGTTTCTCTAACAACACAACAAATACAGGCCCTCATGATGTTGCCTTTACCTCATTCATAGCCCATAGCAGAGGCAATATAAAATCCTACTCAATTCTTCTGGTTTTATCAGGGCAGTCATAAACCAAACCCCTGTTTTGTTAATGTGTGCAAGAATGACAAGCATAGTGCAAAGACACATTGCTAATTTAGTATGGAAGGCACGGGCTTCTTTGTCCTTTGAAGAAGTTGACTCTGCTATTTATAGACTGGCTCAGTGATTTATAAAGACAAGATATATTTTCCTTCTTTTTTTCCCCTTTGCTGAAGCTAGAAATTGTGATGCCAAGAACCACTGAGAGATCTGACTTCTGTTTCTGAAGATTGGGACTGAGAAAGCTTTAGAGTCCTAATTACACTGGCAAGCTTCAACTGCTTTGCTTGTTCACTTTTTCCATGAAAATCCATTAATCTGAAAGATCCCTTGCATCCCTATTGACCAGTGAAAGCATATTAATGTTATACAGGAATATGTTCTGTTAAACACTTCTGTTCTCAACAACCATCATGTCATCTGATAATTGATTTTCAGCTCACCTACTTTAATCTCCCTGTGGGAGGCAGGTAGATTTTAAAAACCAGGCATTTCCCTGCTTTGTCACTGAGCAACATGTGACCCGTTCCACTTGAACTAACATAGGATCTTAGTACCATACTCAAATCAGTCTTAGGAGAGGTAGAAAATAGATTAAAGCACTAATAAGCAGAAGAGCAGGGTGCGCTACTGTATGACTGGCTAATGTGCACCCAGACATATAAACACACTCTCCCAGAACTCAGTGAAGCCAACTGTGGGAAATAACAAATGCATGAACCACATCATGCATATACACAAATAATCTAAAGTCAAGACACCCAAGCAATAAAGGGGAAAGAGGAAAAGGGATACATCCTTCCAGGTCAGAAATAAAGACAGCAATATTCAGGCATTTTATTCTCCATTTAAGCTGAACCGTTGCTTTCTTCCTAGAATTTCTTTTGAAGAGCAGTCTGTTGGGTTTTTTTCTTGGACAGTGACCAATAGATGGTCACTGTCCAGAGTTTGCTACATTTCTACAGAAGCCACTCTCAGCACAGGTGTTCAATTGGTAGAGTGGGAGGAAAAAATCACTGCCTCTTCTCCTTTGGTGGACATAAAAAGACATCACCCCACTGCTGTGATACTTTTCCTTCCAGGAAGGGGAGTCAGCCTGACCAATGGAAGCGATCAGTCTGCTTCTTTTCACTTTCCAGTCCCTGCCCAATTGTCAGTAAAAGCTAAATGTCCTTTTTGGCAGGCAGAAGCAAGTCAAGCTTGTTGCACCATCTGCTTCTTCTCAATTTAACGTAAAGTTGCTAATCCCACAGAAACTGTTTAATGAAATGCAAACTGGGCCCCTTCTGTGCTGCTACTCTGTACACATCTTCATGCCACACACTGGGACAAACATGAAAGTGGGAATGTGAAATACATATATGTGGATTTTCTAATTAATTTACCAAGATATTGTAATAGTATCCTTTTGTTAGTACTATATATTTTTCTGGAAAGTATTTGTGTAAACATTTGAATAGACTTCAAATGGAATATGAGTGCCTTTCAAAGCAAGTCAAGAAGACAGAATGCTTATTCCAGGGGTGTCAAACTCAATTTCATTGAGGGCCGCATCAGAGTAGTGTTTGACCTTGGGGGATGGGTGGGCATGGCCAGGGTGGATGTGGCCATCTCAATGTAACTCGTGTGGTGGCGCCTGTGGTGGCCTGAGCACTCTCTGAGCGCATGGCCCTCCTGAGCTCCGTTTTCGCTGGCAGCGGCACCTCGGGTCAATCCTTCACTGTTTCCAGGGCAGCCCCACTGGCCAGATGTAAGCACCCCGCAGGCTGGATCCAGCCTTGAGTTTGACACCCCTGCCTTATTCTAACAGATGTCTGTTTCTGCATCTAGTGGTAATACCAGAATGAAGACTTACAAAGACATAGTACAAAGTGAATCTAAAATCAGAAATACTTCTCACAAATATATGGTTACCAAAAGAAAAGATAATTCCTATGTGAAGTGGATGAAGCAATTCCTCTCTGGTGAAAAAGTGCCAGAACAAGTGAGAATAACAGCAAGCTAGGGTTGCCCAAGCTACCTGGAATCTATAAAAATGGAAGGGAATTATAGCGCTTTGCTGTATCACATTGAAGAAAATCTTAAATTCATACCTAGGCAACCAACCAGACTAGAGGTGAATGCTAATCTTTCAATTCAGAAAGTAAATAAATGCTGTAAAAATACCTCATTTTCTATGCTTCCCAAGCCTCTGCATAAGTCAGAATAGCCCAGAAACACCTTTTCATTACCCTCTCTGTTTTATGTGTAACCATATAAGCACCAAATAATCCTCCCTATTTAAGACTTTCTGTCCTCCACCCGTACACCAAATGAGTGTAGTACAGATCTGCTGGTGGGAATTTGAGCTGGAAAATGGGCACCGCTCAAATTCTCAGGAGCAAATTCCTTCCCTTCAGTATAGTGTAATTGTGTGCTATAATAGGTAAAATAGCCCAGAATTGCAAATACAAATAAGTACAAGTTACAACACACTTACTGCAGTAATAAAACGCCTGGCAGAACACCTTGTTTGGGAAAGAAGAGTTTGATTCTATAATTATTTTGTGCTGCAGGAAGCTTACAATTTCATGCACAGAAAGAAGAAATGTGGTGTCACCTCAGTTGCCCCCTAGCAATAGCACAACTATACAACAGTGTGAGTGAAGCATAGTGGGAAATAGGCATGCCTCCATGTGCTTGTCAATTGGGCTGACCCTATTTCAGGATGTTGACTGGTTGCTAAGATGCTTGTAGAATTTTAAACAGCCCTTTGCAGTGGGCATTTTGTTTGGTTGGCCATCTGTGATCAAGCTTTGGAGAGAAAAAGCTGCTCCATGACCAAGGTTATAGCCAAAATCCTGTTGGGAATCATATACCCTTCTACCAAACAAAAAAACTTGTGTCTTTTTGTACCTGCAGAACAGCAAGTTCAACAGTTCTGAATTCAAAGGCATTTCAAAAATCTACTCATGTCTCAAGTGAAGGAGAAAATTACCTTCTTACCTACTCTGGGACTGGAAAGCTGTTAATGAACGAATTAATTGGATATTACACAGAAGGAAAGGAGGCTTCTGGACTGGAGTATCAAACAGTAATTAACCAACCATCTATAAAGGTTATGTAAAATTGTCCAATAGGATCAAGGGCTCAAGGGAATCAAGGGAAATATAAGTATACTGATCTACAGTACCAGAGGTGGTATTCAGCAGGTTCTGACCAGTTCTGGAGAAGCGGTAGCAGAAATTTTGAGTAGTTCGGAGAATCGATAAATACCACCTCTGACTGGCCCCACCCCCATCTATTCTCTGCCTCCCAAGTCCCAGCTTATCAGGAGGAAATGGGGATTTTGCAGTAACCTTCCCCTGGAGTGGGGAGGGAATGGAGATTTTACAGTAACCTTCCCCTGCCATGCCCACCAAGCCATGCCATGCCATGCCATGCCCACCAAGCCACACCCACAGAACCGGTTGTGAAAAATTTTGAATCCCACCACTGTACAGTAGGTTCTATAATCCAAGGATAAGAAACAGCCAAGGGCTGGCTTTTATTTACCAAAGCCCAAAAGAAAACTGTTTTGCCAATCAGAAATACTATAGTATCTGGATTTCTTGCATGATTCAAATTGAACTAGGAAAATCATAAGCCTTTTTGATTTTATCATGGCCCTGGGTGTTCCTCTGGTGAGGAAAAGAGATGAATATTACTCTAGTTCTATCCAACATTTTGTTAGCCCTACTAGCTAAAATAGGAAATAAAAAAGGACTGTACATTTTATGATTTAAGAAGAAAAAGTATCTTCTCCCAGAAATAGAGCTTTGCGCCGTAAAAGTTGTAAGCCCCCAGCTGTAGTTTAAAAGCAACAAAATTCTTATAAGACATTAAAAATGCCTGGTGTCATGCTTTCAAGCTAGGTTTTTGACCAGCTGTGTTCAAATGGCTGCTCAGTTGTATAGTTATAATGTAGCTGAACAATTATAGGATTCTTGCTAATTGCTTGTCATTTCAAAATTGTATCACCTTGGCTCTTCATTGTTCAGGAGCCTACTACCATTTGCAGCTTCTAAAATGGAAATGGATAGGTTTCCATCTCTGCCATTTAGAATGAATAAACATATTATTAATATCCCACCCACTCAGTCTTTGCAGCTGAGTCAAATCAATCAGAATCTAATTATATAGGTTGGGGTTTTTTTCATGACTTTCTTTCAATTAAACTCCCCCCTCAAAAAAAATGTCATCAGCTAAAAGTAGATATAGTGTGCATCAGAAAAGTATGTTGAGATGAAACATGCTATTGTCCTTACATTTCAAAACAGTCAATTATAATTTCCAGATATTTAGCCGCTTCTCCAGAACCTGTTTTCTCAGAAGTCTTTAAGACATAATCTAGAGGCTAAATACAGGTAGTCCTTGGCTTATGACCACAACTGAGCCCAAAAATTATGTTGCTAAGTGAGAAATCTCTTAAGTGAGTTTTGTCCCATTTTATGATTTTTCTTGCCATATTTGTTAAGTGAATCACTGCAGTTGTTAAATTAATAACACAGTTGTTAAGTGAATCTGGCTTCCCCATTNATTATTTTATCAATATTATTATTATTATTATTATTTCTTGCTTTATTTCTGTGGGCCAGATTATATATGTGAGCATTCTTATTTACATCTCGATTAAGATGATTGCCGATCTGAATAATGCGACTCTGGATACTAACAAGGATTAAAATATAATAAAACCTATTGTATCTTTTTGGCTATGTGATAGAAACATAAACTTCAATGGATCAGATTGCAATAATTATTTAATTCAGAAAAGGTGCAAAATAAACCTGAATAGTTCTCAAAGGCATTGAAAAATGTTGCATTATTCTGAAAGAACTCCATATAATTTTCTTTCTTGACCATTTCTGACATCAGTGGATACAGCTGTGAGTCATATGTGGCCACGGGAGGTATTTGCAAGTGGCTGAAATTCAATTTTGATGAAGCAGGCTTCACAACTCACCCACAATTTTCCTCTTCATTTGCAATGTGTTTACTGAATATGCTGCAGAAAATCAATCATAGAGTGTTTCAGTGTGGTGCAAATTGGGAAAACCACTTCAGCCATGAAAGTACTCCATCATCTTCTATTACCATCAGTATTTCTGAAAAAAAGAAAACAATATAATTGCTTGAAAAGACAAGAATTTACATTTGGAAAATGCTTTTCTTTGTAAAGTTTTTCAACTTAGGGATGCTCAAGAGACAGCAGTTATGTAATTTTTCTGCATTGTACTGTAAAAGTAAATCTAAAAATGTTGCTGTTTTGCTTCTGAAAAATACTTAGACTTCTATAAAAATGTTTTGAAACAACAGCAAACAAAAATATCCACTATATTTTAAAAGATATGATCAAACGAAATTTCAAGAAGCCACTCAATGGGACTATTCTATATAACTAACATTTCTATTGCTATTTTGTATTACATGCAATTGCACCTACTAATAAGAAGAAATTAGTTTTGATCAGGGCCCTTTGAATGTCAGTATTTAAGACTGAAAGTCCAGAGATTGAACAAAAGAGTTTTGTGTTGGTTCTAGGATGCTTTGTCCTCTAAAATTCATGTTTTGGTTTAATACTTTTCTTCATGGTATGTAATATTATGAAGATATTCTGTATCAGACTGAGCAAATTAACAATCTAGCAGCTGGACATGGTTGTTTCTGAGTGAATAAACTCTCTTAATAGAGTTGCCTTTCTATTTCATTATTATTCCGCCTTTTGTTCCATAAGCATCCACAAAGATAGCTTACATAAATTGCACAGGGGCTGCTATTTCAAAATTACACCCTGAGCCGTAAATTAGCCAATCAATTTTTCTTTGATATGTTGTGTGAATTCATCTCATGAAATTTATTTATCCCTCGGTAGATCATGCAAAGCCAGATATATTGTTACTGCATCAACATGGATATGTTGATCACAGATAACCCCCTTGAGTAGAGAGCTCATCCAGCTACACAAAATTAGCATATCATACTGTCCCTACTCAGTTCTGTCTAACTTATATGTCAGAATACAGAAAAACAGAGTTGGAAGAGACCTTGGAGGCACTAGTGAAATTCAGTTGTTGTTTTTTACTATTGGTTCTGTGGGCGTGGCTTGGTGGGCGTGGCAGAGGAAGGATACTGCAAAATCCCCATTCCACCCCATTCCAGGGGAAGGATACTGCAAAATCCCCATTCCTTCCCACTCCAGGGGAAGGATACTGCAAAATCCCCATTCCA